TATATATATAAGCAATACAGAGTGCCTTTACAATTGTGAATGCTTACTCTGCATGAATATTGCAGGTCATTTTTCGATAAAGATGTGCCAAGGGAAAACTGTATTATGCTGGGCACTGACAGACTAGGCTGTCCATTTATAAAAAAAAATCTACACTGTTAACTTCAGCACCTGACACCAGATAAATAGCACTAATATAAAAAAATGCTCACTTTTTCTCTAATGCAGCTACTTAGCAACCTACCTGTTTAACGACTGCTCGGACTTACAACCAGCTCTCCTGCCAGTTGGTATTGTACACTGTATGAGAACATGGGTCAAGCCCATCCACATCACCCTTTTACAGTCTATGTCTCGTTCCCGCAGTTGGTCAATTAGTCTGTCAGTATTCACTACTGTACTGTACATTGGTATTTGCAGTATGCAAACCTAAGTCATGTACTGTATATTAGAGCTGATTTCCTTTTATTCCTCACTTAGTGACCAATTCGCTTAACAACCTAGTCATAGGAATGGAACTCGGTCATTAAGTGAGGAGTGTCTGTAATAATAATAATCATAAAAACTGTAACATCAGCCTGATTTAATCAATTCCTTACAAAACTAATACTGTATATTTATTTATATACTATTAATGTTAAAATATTCTAGAGCATGACATTAGAACTACAGTGGTACCTCGGTTTAAGAAACTTAATTCGTTCCACGATTCTGGTTGCGAACCGAATCAAACTTTGATCAGACCGCGATCTCGACTAGAGGAAGCCACGACCTGTGTCAGAGCAGGGAAGATGGCTGCAGTTGCGTTCATCACCTAATGCGGAGTTTGCAAACGGTATCAAAATGTTGCTGAACTTCCTGTTTGCAATTTGAATTGTTCGCGAACAGAAGCGTTCGTGAACCGAGGTACCACTGTATTATGTGTACTTTCTTCTGGGGATTTTCTTCATAACTTAAAAGTCAAAGACTAATGATGTACAGTAACCCTTAACCAATCAAGATCTCAAGTTACTGGTTGCTATTAGTAACTACACATGATTACTGTTTGCACTTTATGCTTGAAAAATGTATTTATTTAGAAGATGCTGATTTTTTTATGCCTAAGATTTTACGTCAGATCCAACAGTGCAAATAAAACAGAAAACGTATTATACTGATGTTTATATGGGAACTGAGAAACCTGTCAGATGGTTTCTCCTAACTCACTTTCACTTCCATAGGGACTAATATAGGTACTTATAACATTCTATATTCTAAATCCTGTACAACAATAATATATTCATACTAGGTTTAACATTTTTTAAAAAGGCAAACCTGATCAGAACCATTCCTTCAGTGATCAGGCCAGTGTAAATGTTATAGTTTAATGCACTAAGTAAATCACAATAGAGTATTATTAAATTCAGCTGTGGACATCTTTGAGACAAATTGGATAATTATGCAGTATAAAATGCCACAAACGGTTTTGCATTTTTAGCTTTCAAAAAGAACCCCTAAATGTAAATACAAACCTAATGGGGTCTTAAATCAACTCAAAATAACCCATTCTCTGGGTCCTTATTGTAGTAACCTTTCAGAATGTTACAAACGTTTATCTCCTTATTGACAAAGTAGTGAACAGAGTCTTAAAGGAATGTTTCTATAATCTATATTCATTTCTATACTATTTCCCTTTACTCTTGTAACCATAAAACCATACTGTTAGATGAATTCAAATGTCAGCATGGCATTCCTGATATGTACAATTTTATATGATCAGTTATATGGTATATTAAATAAAGGCATGTTCCACTGCATGTCCAGAATTGTATCCTTTTAAAAAATTACAAATGTATAAATAAAATAAAACTCATTTTCATAAGCTACCACTGTTATATTAGTTAAACCTGCATTAATGGTACATCAGGACAGAGTAAGTAAAGAGTAATAGGTAGAGGGTCTTTCTTAACAGAGTGATTGTGATATGTAGCTAGTGTTTATCTGGCGCTGTGCTGCATAACTATATTTAATTTTGTACATCTTATAAGACGCATACATATATTAACACCAAGGTTTAGGCTAGGTTCACACCTAGGCGATTGATCTGGTTAGCTGTTTTGTTGTGGCTTATGTGCGTTTTTGTTTGCGCTATTTTGCTTTGAAAACTGCGTAGTTGTTGCATCGTTTTCAATGCATAGAGATCTCTATGGGACCCAAACCGCGTGAAAGTAGTTTCTGCACCTTTTTGCGCGACAGGTGATTATTACCGTGCGACAAATTGCAAAGGTGTGAACAGCTTCCATAGACTTTAATGCAAATCTCTGTTTTATGTGATATCACTCGGCTAAATCAGTGCAAAAAGTAGCTTAGGTGTGAACCTAGCCTTATAGGTATAGAGTACAGAAAGAGAGAAATGGATGTTAGAGTCTGCTGTAAGGATAATTACATTGTAGCCATTAACAGTAGAGTGTAAGCCTAACAGGCAGGATTTGATATGACTGATTCCGTATTTTTTATAGTGGGATTTTTAAGAGTTAAAATGAATAAGCAAAATGTAAAAACAAAAACAGTGTAGAATTAAGTATGCTATCTTCCAAACCTATTTTAAAAAGTTTTACACTCACATGTGAGCTAACCATAACAAATTAACTCACTTGATTCCATTCCTTGACTGAAATAAAAAGGATAATGATGTACAATGCATTTTGTTTTGCATTAGGCAGTTATTTAGTTAAATCACAACACAAACAGCACACCAAACAAAGAAATTATGTGTTTTGTGCATTTGAAGATAATTCTATGTTGTATTTACAAACAAGTCTATGTGAATTATAATAAACATAGAATAAATAATATTATCCTATGTTGTATTTATAAACAAGTCTATGTGAATTATAATAAACATAGAATAAATTATTTTATCCTATGTTGTATTTACAAACAAGTCTATGTGTATTATAATAAACATTGTTGTTGTATTTATAAACAGTCGAACCAGAAATGATTTACCTGGATTAAACAGTACAATCCCTTTCAGATAGACATATTCTTTGGTGCTAATGGCCAGGCTCCAGCACTTCTCTAAAAACTCTTTGATCCATCTGATCTCTGTAGCAGAAGGCAGTTGGGAGAGTTTAGTCTGCTGCTGATGCTGGCTGTTCCCAATTAATAAGTCTTGCTGTGCATGCTCATGAGGAAGTTTTCTCTCTCCTCCTTGCCTGTTGGTTAAAATCCTCTGCAACATGCTGGGCTCTGATGTTTCCACTGTCTCAAAGTCCACCTTGTCCTGGGCAAGTCCCAGCACCAGCAGTGGTGCCCAGCAGCTCCTGACAAGCAGTAACTGGTCCTCCATGGGCAGCTCCTGGAAGCATGGCACACTTTTCACAAACCTCAGGGTCTTCACCAGCACAGCTGATGCTGCCTTGCATGTCACCTGGGGGCTCTTAAGTGTGACTTTCTTCTGTGATCCACAGGAACATCCTTGTCCATATGACCTGCTGTGATCTTCCTTCCGCATTTTGCTGCTGTGGTGTGAATCCCTGTGCTCCTCATTTTTTAGGATGTTGTACAAGATGCTACCATGCCTCCTGTTATCTACAGCACAATGACATTTGTCTAAGAAAGCCATGGGGAAGAGGAGAAGGAGAGGATCTGACAGCTCGTGGGGCTGCCTTGGTTGCTCTTACAACAGCTGATCCTCCTCTGCCTGCCCCTCAGGTTACATTTACACCTTTGTTTCCAGTCAGACAATATATGCAGTTCAAAAGGGGGCAGACGCTCATTACTGGCTGAAAAAGAGAGAGATTCAGAAAGCACACATCTCCTCCCCTTGTCAGCGATATGGTTAGGACTGGAGCTAGGGGGAGCCTTAGAGCTGAGCTGGAGAGATGTCTGTACTGTTGCAGTACAGAAAGCATGTGCTTTCTGTCATGGCTGGTCTCTGCTTCTGGAAAGGCTAAGTGCTTGGCTGTTTATCAACTACCTTCAATCATATCTATACCCAAAAGTAAAATTGGGAAGGGGGTTTAACACCGCGGATGTCAACTGGTTAAAGTGACTCTAAACGCAGGAGTTAAATCTTAAAAATGCATTCAAGTACCTTAACTATTAACAAAAATGCACCTTATTTATGTATCACTGGGCTGCAAATGCTCAAATCATTTCTGAATTCCAGCTGACACTGTCCTTCCTTCTGGAGCGTAGCTGCTTTTGTTCCCCATGGTCCCTATGTGTGTTGTAAAGTAGCCAGCACTCCAAAGTCACTCCCGTGATGTATTACAGTCTCATGTTTAGTTTACCAGATTGTATTGAAATTAAAGTCCATCACTACAGCGAGCTGGTCCACAGGTGGACAACCTGCTGTCCAAGTGTGGCTCCATTGCTCCTGCAGAGTGTGGAGCTACCCTAACACAGGAAGTTACCAGATTAAAATAAAGGAGAAAAAGCTTAAAAAAAGAAAGCTATTGCAGAGCCCACATTTAAGTACTGGTGAGCTGCAATATATTACATCTTTGTATTTGTGTTGTAGATATGCTTTCAGCACACCTCCCAATTGTCCCTCATTTAGAACCAAATTCGTCTGTCACTCTTTCCTCCTCAGTTGTCCCTTCTTTTGGTCTGATGTACAGATATCTATTAATAAGGTGCTATTTAAAAGAGAATTATGGGGCTAGTGAAAAACACTAATGCTCATTATTCAAGCCAACCTGTGACACTGAAGTTGTCACAGGTCGGCTCAATTGATTGGGAAGGCAGCGAACACATATCGCCGATCGTTGACTTTCCAATCCTCTCACTGCAAAGAGCGGTGACCGCAGGGATTCCCCCCTCCGCTCTCTGTTTCTCCAGCGCTGCGTGAAGGAAGGAACAGGGCAGGTTGCAGTTACAGATGGCTTTGCCTTTAGTGAGGAAGAGCCAGCTGTCAATCAGCCAGCGGTGTGGATCTCAACTTTATTACCAGGATCCGTCCTGGCTGCGGCACAGCTCTGTGCTTTCAGCATATAGTGAGCAATAGCCCGCTACATAGTGAGTTTTGGGTCACCGGAGGACATTAGTATGACCCTAAACAGATCTATGGGCAAAAAAGGTTTAACTACCAAAAGTGTTAAACTGACCATACACTGTTAGTTTTAATCTTGTTCAGCCCCGTAGGTTGAATTAGCTGTTTCACCTCAGAAAGTTGGTAGTTATGGCTTCAGTGCTTTCTGATACACTAATCTAGAACATTGGCTTTTGAGTTCTGCTGATCTCCTGCAGCCTCTTGGTAAACATTTCATGTCAACATGTATGCACACCAACTATGGCTGCATGTTTTTATTTAGAGTGGGCTTCCTGATGGAGATAACAACAGTGAACCACACCTGTTCAATCTGCATTACTCCGTTGTAGGTGTTGGTTATGTGTTTAGATGAAGCACTGAGATCTTGAGGAATGCTGAATTAAGTTTTTTAGAAAAGCATTACATATATTAATATTGCATTGTGAAGAACACATAGAAAGAAAAACACTTCTTCTGCATCATAGATAAGCATCATCCGTACAGTAAGCCACGTGCCCGTAGCAGCTGCCCTGGTCCACATGGAAAAGGACAGCCCAGTGCAACTTACCAGGCGGGCCGCCGCCGCCGCTTCCAGAGTCACGGGGCTCACTGGACTCCTCCTGTACTGGCTGCTCTGGAGGTTTGTGGGGGAGTCCTTTGTTATTGCTGTAGAAGGGGAGTGACTGCTAGAGAGCTGCTGTTACTGTCAGGGCCAAAGAGGGGAAAGAGAGGGGAGCACTGAGAAAGGGGTGTTATGGGGGTCTTGAGGCATGGGGGTGCTTATGGGGGTCTTGAGGCATTGGGGTCCTTGGATACAAGGGGAGTGTTATGGGGCCTTAGCTTTAAGGGGTATGTTTGGGTGTCCTGGGGTATAAGATGAGTGTTATGGGGGTCCTGAGGTATGTGGGGAGTGTTATGGGGGTGCTGAGTTATTTTGGAAGTGTTATGGGGGTCCTAATGTATGAGGGGTGTGCTATGGGGGTCCTTAGGCATGAGGAATATTTTATGGGGGTCCTTAGGCATGAGGGAAGTGTCATGAGGGTCCTTAGGTATTAGGGGAGTGTCCTGAGATCTTTAGGTATGAGGGGAGTATTATCGGGGTCCTACAGTATAAAGAGATTATTATAAGAATCCTTTGGTATGGGGGTGTTTTATGGGGTTCCTAAAGTATGGGGTGTGTTATGGCAGTGCCGAGGTAATGGTGGTGAAATGTGGAGGACCTGCAGCATACACTTAGCAAGGGTTATTTTAGCAGAGGGCAAAATAGTCTAGCACCGGCCCTGCCAATAGCTAAAGCATCAGGTAAGTGAAGAAAGGGTGGGTATGAGCTACTAAATGGTTACTGCATACCTGTACTGACTTGCTAGGAAATTTACTAAACTAAAACCAAAGCCGTGTAGTAGACAGTAAGGTGGCAGATCTTATCTGCAGCTTTACATGATACTTCAGTGCTCTGCCAGATACCTCCAAAAAGAGCATACAGAGCTCAAAGCTTTAGCATCCAACTACCAGGTCTCAGCAATATCACATGATGAGAGTCAGGTTGTGTCTGGGTAAATGTTTGGTGTCTATTTACCCGACGTGACCCTGTCTTTTATATTTTACCAAAAAATAACAGTTTTTTTTTGTAACTAAATTTAAGGTACTTTTTTTGTTATATAGTAAAAAATAAAAACCCCAGTGGTGATTAAATACCGCCAAAAGAAAGCTCTATCTGTCTCCAAAAAATGCTATAAAATTAATTTCAGTACAGCGTTGCATGACGGAATAAATGTCAGTCAAAGTAACTCAGTGCTCAATACTGAAACATGGCCTGGCCAGGCAGGGGGTGTAACATCCTGGTCTTCAAGTGGTTAAGAATAAAAAAGAAGTCGTTTGTTTTCTTTAGAAATGTCGGTTTTGCTGCAGCGGGTTCTATACATACAGATTTTCCACTTACAGGCAGTGTAAGGGGACCCCCCCCCCCCAGGCACGATATTTAAAGGAATTCTTCATTTTTATTGTTACCCTTTAAGTGATGTTAAAACCACTGCTCCTTTACAAATTGTATTTTTTAAAAGTTTTTTTTCCTTTGATTCCTGTCCCCCAGAGCAGTACCTGGATTCCTGTACACCTTTTATGGCCAATAACTTGCATATAAGCCCTCTTAAAGGGGACAATTGTTTTTGAAAGTTCTACCCCCATTGACTTGCATTGAGTTCGTGTTCGAATTTGAACTTTTTGGATGTTCTAAAGTTCAAAAACTCGGAACTCGGGCCTGTTCGCCCCATCACTAGTACTTACAACACAATTTAGCTTTTAGTTTTGTATGTTTAGTTGCAATATAGGGTTTTTGTAAAGATTTTCTCTTGGCTAAAGGATTCATCAATCTAGGGCCTTTTAATAACTACTTAAAATGGTACCAGGAGAGGATCTTTGGTATTCTTCAGGACACAATTTTTAACTACAATTGCACATGCATGTACCTGCTGCACCTCCATCTGCTCAAAGAAGTTACTAAACTGACATGCTGATACTCTTTTTTTTTTTTTTTACCTTCTCCTAAGCCTTGACTTCCAATAAACCTTCAATTGGGGGAATATGGGTAGGAAAACTTTCCTCTTTTCCTGTTCTTTCCAGAATAAGTACCCAGCAGTCTTCACAGAAACAACTCTTGCATCTACCTTCAACCACCAGATTGGTAACACGTACATCTCTTCCACACTATGAATGCTTGTCTGATCACTCCACTAGTCAAGCAACCCCTCCATCTAGTTGTTCTTTCCTGGGTCTTACTTGATTAAAGGGTTTGTAAATCTAGATCCTTCTAATAACAACTTAAAATAACAACACAGGCTAGGTGACATGCGTTTAAATGGCTACAGGTAACTTTTTATTTACAAACCAAAACAACAAAATAAACAACATAAAAAAAACATAAACATATGCAACAACCAATGAAGATTTTTTCAACCAGGAGGCAGTATTTGGATGTCATTAAAGACACAGTTTATGAATTTTGTGAAAGCTATGTTGTGACACAACAGAAGTCAATAAAAATTGACTGAACTTGAGCTGGAGTGCGAGTGACTTTTTCACATTTACACTGATTTGCGGTGGCATCCGTGGTCGCTTGGCATCCACCCGATATTCGAGGGTGGTATCCAGTCTGGTGTGCAATGGATTCCTTTTGATTATTGGATGTCATTAAAAACACAGTTTATGAATTTCGTGAATGTGCAGTATGTAAAGTGCTGCATAAATTGTCTGCGCTGTACAAATACTTGTAATAAATAATTTAAAAAATAATGACTAGAATCAACAATGTCCTCAGCTACTCCCCCCACAGGCTTAAAGATGATATCAAACTCTTACTTTTTCTCAGGTAACCTAGCTTCTGGGAGAACAACAGAAGTGTTAAGCGTGAGTATCAAACCCAGACTTCCCCCCCCTCCAGTTTTATAACAATTCAACTAGTCGCCTACCTTTCTAAAGACTCTGTGACTCACCAAATGAGCTTAGGTGACATAACATTTCCTCCACACCTTTATTGCTTTCTGAACTCCTTTCTGTGGGCTCAAAAACCAGATATCCATTCCTACTGCATTTAAATAAAACGAATCGTCCCTCCTGTACCCAATAGTGCAATTCTCCAGTTCTGTGTGCCTAATTACGATTCTCCTGATCCTAGCCACAAACTTTCCAACCT